GATATGGAGGCTGGAGCACCTCCTGTATGAAGACAGGCTGAGAAAGTTGGGGCTGTTCAGCCTGGAGAAAAGAAGCTGCATGGAGACCTCATTGCAATCTTCCAATATCTGAAGGAGGCCTGTAAGGATGCTGGGGAGGGACGCTTCACAAGGAACTATAGTGATAGGACAAGGGGTAATGGGTTTACCCTTAAACAGGGGAAGTTCAGGCTAGATATAAGGAAGAAGTTCTTTACTGTGAGGGTGGTGAAGCACTGGAATGGGTTGCCCAAGGAATGGTCCATCTCTGGCAGGGTTCAAGGCCAGGTTGGACAGAGCCTTGGGCAACATGGCTTAGTGTGTGGTGTCCCTGCCCATGGCAGGGGGTTGGAACTAGATGATCTTAAGGCCCTTTCCAACCCTAACTATTCTACGATTCTATGCAACCCTAACATTAGTCTGAGTTAGTTCCTCCTATATTTAAAACAAATTGTACGACTTGAGTATCTCTTCACTAAACCACCCAGCCTTGACCTGAAGGATTCAGCCAAGAGAAAATACATCATAATTAAATTTGGTAGATTTTCTCAGCAGCTATTAATGTAACATCCACTAATCTCTGCAAGTAAGTGAACAGGAGAAACAAATAGCGATTCCTTTCTGGAATGAAAGGCGCAGTTCCATGATCTTTGGCAATAACTGATGTTTGTGAGTTGCTTATTTTAGTAAATGTTTGCAATCTCTTGCAATAAAGCCTTATTACAATCATAGGCACTCTACATTTCTGTCCTTGATTGCTGTTTCACTTAAATAATGGAACAGAGCAGTTCTACATGTGTAATTAATTATTTCATTTTCAGAATGACAGTCATCTGTCATTGACACAATATTATCATGCATGCTGTTAGCCAGAAATTAAAACTTGAGAAAGATTGCAAGACTCCTCCAATCCTCTTACTGCTACTGTACGCTGTTCTTCCACATAGATACTGAGACTGAAGCAGAAGTACTACAAAGCATACAAAAATGGTCACTGTGGATTAGACTAAATGCCTATATTAAGTATTCTATATTAAGTATTGAAACTGGTTATGTAATTCTACAGTTAACAAAGATCTTCAGTATTTTGGCACATGCTAAATTTTTCTAGCACAGTGCAAACTTGAAGTTATTTCACCTTATGTGCACCACTAATCACATATGAAGGACCATTTAAAATGTTGAAATTTAATGGAAATTGCTGAACAAATATCAATATTAAATTTAATTATGAAACAATTTCACATTGGAGTTTAAAACAGAAGTTAGTATAAACTGTTTCA